AGCCCCAAGGCCAGCCCGGGCCCAGGTAACGATGGAGCCTTCTCCATAACAAGTTGGCAGGGCACGGGCCCAGAGGCGAGCTGGCTAAAAGCTCAGATTGTGGTGAGAGGGCAATGCTGAACATTTAATGAGTTGATCCAAATACAAGGCTTAATCACTGCCTGCCAGTAGTAGAGGTTCCAAACAGCGGCTGGGATTATAATAGAGAGGTAGTTAGTGCTAGTTCTTGCCTGGAAACGGAGCCTCTTTGGTTTAGAATCATCCCATGTAACAACAGATAGGGAATCTGCAGCCCAGGGACAGGAAGGGTGAGCGGTTGGATTAGGCTGTTAACCGGGGTGAGACTGGCATCTGTCCCAGGCCCACTCACACAGGGAGGGCAGCAGGGGCTGCGAGGGTCTTGGAGGAAGGTGGAGAGTGGGTGACTGACTCCCCATGCAGGCCCAACCCACTCCGCAGACCCCTGGCGGAGTGAGTGCCTGCCCTCATGGCTAGGACCGAGTTCCTCTGCAGGGCACAAGGACTCTGGGAGTGTCTGCCAGGGGAGGGATGTTAGGACAGTGGGTGGGGGTCAGCCCAGCTCACAGTGGCTGGGGTCCCTTGCCTGTGGGGGGCGGGCAAGGCAGGGTCTCCAGGAGCATTGGGAGGTTGCCTTTCAGCTGGGGAGGGAAGGGGAAGGAGGGAGCAGATGCAAAGGAGGGCTGGGACTGCTTTCCCAGGGAAATGACTGTTTGCATAGACGCCACTCCCCCCCCCCCAGGGCAGCCAGAGGTTCCTTAAATGCCACCTAACACACACACTGCCTGCAATCTATGCAAGGCCACATCTCACCCATGAAGATTTCTCTGTCTCTCCATTTATCTGGGTCTTTAATGTGCTTTAGTGGAGTTTTAGACTTTTATGCATCCTTTGTTAGGTTAATTTTTGAACAAAAGCCTGTTTCTCTGTTGCTGTAAAGATACATTTATTTTCTACTATATTGTGGTTGATGAGTAAGAATTATATTGACTTTTGTGTATTGATCTTGTATCTGGCAACCTTAACTCCACTGGTAGTTCTAATTAGGTGTCTTAGTCTGTTTCGTGTTGCTATGACAGAATGCCTGAGACTAGGTAATTTCTAAAGGACAGAGATTTACTTCTGAAGTCTGGGAAGTCCAAGATCCAGGGGCATGTCTGGTGAGGGCCTTGGTGCGGTGTCACCCATGGCAGGAGGTAGAAGGGGGCTGAACTTAGACTTTTTTTTTTTTTTTTTTTTGAGACAGAGTCTCCACTCTTGCTTGGGCTCGAGCGTTGTGGCATCAGCCTAGCTCACAGCAACCTCAGACTCCTGGGCTCAAGTGATCCTCCTGCCTCAGCCTCCCGAGTAGCTGGGACTACAGGTTTGTGCCACCATGCCCAGATAATTTTTTCTATTTTTAGTTACCTAATTTTTTTCTTCTTCTATTTTTTAGTAGAGACAGGGTCTCTGCTCTTGCTCAGGCTGGTCTCAAACTCCTGCCCTCAAGTGATCCTCCTGCCTAGCTCTCTGGGAGGCCGAGGCGGGCGGATTGCTCGAGGTCAGGAGTTATAAATAGAAAGAAATTAATTGGCCAACTAAAAATATAGAAAAAATTAGCCCGGCATGGTGGCGCATGCCTGTAGTCCCAGCTACTTCGGGAGGCTGAGGCAGGAGGATTGCTTGAGCCCAGGAGTTTGAGGTTGCTGTGAGCTAGGTTGAAGCCACGGCACTCACTCTAGCCTGGGCAACAAAGTGAGACTGTGTCTCAAAAAAAAAACGTGATCCTCCTGCCTCAGGCCCCCAGAGTGCTAGGATTATAGGCATGAGTCACTGCACCAGGTTGGAACTTAGACTTTATCAGGAACCCATGCCCCCAACAACTAACTCGTCCCTGCATTAATCCATTCCTGGAGAGCTGAGCACTCATGACCTGGTCACTGCTTAAATGCCCCACCTCAACACTGTTGCATTGGGATTAATTTTCCAACACATGAATTGATGGGGATACAGTCAAACCATAGCAGTGTCCGATCTCTTTGATTTTTCTACATAAATGTTCCTGTCTGCTATTCTTCCCTGTTCCTACCTTTTATTGAAATTAACAGATGTTCTTCATCTGTGGCTATCCAGGGTTGACTTGGCAGGGCTGGGGAGGACCCTCAGGCACGTTGCCTGCTTAGTTTCATTCTTTTTTCTCTGTTGGGAGTTCCCAAGCTGAAGTCTTGCCGGCCTTGGAAGGCAGCAGAGACACCAGTGTGGGATCTTGGACCCCTGCATCCTACCTTCTGTGCAAGTGTCAGCGCCCCACACTCCTTCCCTCCTTAACAAGCCACCAGCGCAGCAAGATGGACAAGGAAGGAAGTGTCCTTGTCCAAAATGGGTGCTTGGCTGTTGGTTAGTGCCACGGGGCTCCTGTGAAGTCCAGGTTTGGCCTGGGAAAGGGGGTTTGCAACGTCAGTACATCCCATGCAAAAACACAACACCTGGATTTTTTAGCAAAAGGCGGACGAGGCCCGGTGCAGTGGCTCACGCTCGTAATCCCTGCACTTTGGAAGGCTGAAGCACGGGGATCACTTGAGGCCAAGAGTTTGTGACCAGCCTGGGCAACATAGTGAGACCCTGTTTCTACAAAAAAAAAAAAAAAAAAATTGGCCAGGCATTGTGGTGCATGCCTGAAATCCCAGCTACTCGGGAGGCTGAGGTGGGAGGATCACTTGAGTCCAGGAGTTCCAGACTGCAGTGAGCTATGATCAGGCCGCTGCATTCCAGCTGGGGTGACACAGTGAGACCCTGTCTCCTTTAAAAAAGAAAAAAGGAGCATGAAAATCAAGTCATCTCTGGGTAGTCTGATCTCCAAAAGCGGCTTCAAACCACACTAATATTGGTCACGAAATCTTTTCTCAACTATTGTTTGACATCTTTACGTTGCAGATTGATCTAGGTTTACATCATCCTTCTTAGCTGCTACCAAACATTCCCTGTGACAAATGTGTCAAGACTTTTGCACCCAGAATGGTACCTGTTGGGTATTTACAGCTCATACAAATGCCACCAGGACCCTCCCTGTAGCTTGTCCCTGTGCCCTGGCCGGATGGTTTAGGGTGGTTTAGGGGAGGAGTCGCTGAGGCCCGGGTTGTGATGGGTTGTGATGGGTTGTGATGGGTTGTGATGGGTTGTGAGCGGTTGTGAGCGGTTGTGAGCGGTTAACACTGGCTGCAGGCAGGTGGTAGCCGCCTCCCCCCTCAATCTGGGCTGCTGGGCCATCGCCCTCCGCCCACTAGGTCAGACCTGACAGTTTCTCCGCCCACGGGGGAAGGTGTGGCCTGACAGGTGCGGGCTCTTTGTGGCTGCTGTGACTGTGTTTGGCCTGGTAGGGCTGCGCTTCCACCTGAAACAGATTAAACCTCGCTCTGCTTTCCTCCTAGGCAGCTGAAGCAGACATCTCCCAGTTCTCAGCAGCTCATTCTCAACAGACGTTCTGGGCATTTTTTCTTTTATTCTCCAACTCTAGCTTGAGGAACAGTGCCGTCCTTCTGCGGTTTCTCCCTAAAAGGCTAGAATGCCCCATGACCACGCCTGCCAGGCTGGTGACGTCACCGTGCAGCCCAGCCCCTGCACCGTGTGCCTTTTGGATGCGTTGTTAATAACCTGCCTGAAGTCAGTCCGAGACACCTGGAGGGGCCAAAACTTCCTGTTCCCTGAGCCTCTGCCTGGCATTTTCGCATTTGCAGCATCTCAAAGCTTTAATGCTGGAAGCAGTTAGTGAGCAGCACTTGTGTTTAGCCTCAGGGGTCCCTGGAGAGGGGTGGCCCTGTGTGTCCTGGTTGGTCCACTTCAGGGATGGACTGTGGTCCACCCTGTGGGAGACTTGGGGCTCTGTCCCTCCTTGGCTCAGTCATGAACCTCACCAGCCACAGTGTCCTCTCAGAACAGAAAAGTCCAGCAAGTGAGTGGAGTGTGCAGGTAGCCCTGAAGAATTAAAAAATGTAAAAGACCCAGGGTGTATTGGGAGAAATGCTGGGTTGAAGTACAAGGTCGTAATGGGTGTGCCTACCTGTGTCAGCGTGCCAGGCGCTGTTCGGAGTACTTGGAGGGATTCCTTTAGTTCGTCCTCCCAGTAGCCCAGGGAGGGCTGCTCACCAACCCCATTTTACAGATGGAGAAGCTGGCCCTCGGCCCCTAACTGCCCGAGCTGGGGTTGGAACTAGGCCATGAGGTTCCGGGATCACACTGTCATCATACTCTGACCTAAGGCTGTTTGGTACCGTGGGGTAATTTTGGTACAGGCCGGTTGGGGCAGTGTGGGGCCAGGTTGGTGAATCAGGTCACAGGATGCTAGTCACCAACGTGAGTGAAACACTCACTGAAGCTGTGGGAACCCACAGGGACAGTAGTTAGGAAGGCCTTTGGCTGCCGGGAACGGGAGGCTCGATGGCCACGTGAACACACTGGGTTTTTTCCTGCACCACGGCGCTGCCAGGCCTGGCTCTCCTGCCCCCCTGCGCTGCCGCCCTTGCCTGCCGCCCCGGCTCCGGCCCTCCGGGAGGGAGAGCCACCCCGGCGGTGTCAAGCCCGGCATCTGGGTTCCCTGCGGCATCATCGGCCAGGACTGGGTACACCGCTGCCACCGGCTGCAAGGAATGCTGGGGAAGCCAGGAAGACGGGGAGGGTCAGGACCGCTGTGAGTGGGGGCGCAGGGCCACCCCAAGGACAGTTGGAGTTCTGTGAGCAAAGAGCCAGGGGAGCGGACGGCAGAGAGGACGCAGCAGCACCGCGGGTGGGTGATCCTGTTCCCAACGCCCGCGCGACGGCCCGGCCCGTGTGTTTCGCAGACGAGGGGAAGAGTTGGCAGTGGTTCCTCCCGGATCGGGATGGCTCGTTTCCATTTCGCTTTTGTGCCTGTCTTGCTCAAGAGAAACGGCAAACACCACAAAACAGCGTCGCTCCGGCCGGGTGGTGGGGCTCAGCGGCGGCCCCTCTGCTGGCAGCGGGCGCCTGGGTTTCCCAGTGGGGCTGCTGGTGAGCGCCTTATGTTTATACACCCTATGAATCATCTCCAAGTCCCAAACAGAGAGGCTTGGTGACTGGCCCAGAGGCACACAGCCAGCATCCATGTTGGCGGCTTTAGCAGGTCAGCAGAGTGGGGGTACGGGGAGGTGTCCTGGGAGTGAGGCCCACACTGCGTAGTTCCGGGGTCCACTCATCATACTGTGTCTTTTTGCCGCAGAGGAGCAATGTCTGAGGTGAGACCCAGCCCCACGGACCTCTTCATGGACGCCTTCCCGTTCGAGCATCTGCTGGACCCTCTGATCCTGGAGGTTCTCAGCATCATGGAGGACGAGCAGGACCCCAGCCCCTCGGGGTGCCTCGAAGACAGGTACCTCTCGATGGCGAGCGTGGGGTAGAGGAGCAGACCTGCGTGAAGGAGGGAGCATCTGCAGGTGGCAGCCTCCCTCTGTGCCCTGCAGGGCTCCAAGGAAGAAAGTTCCCTGGGTGTGGTCATGGAGGCTGGTCGCCAGGTGATGTCACCTTGCACCCCCACCTGACTCGGGCCCCTACCCTGCTGACACCAACTCACAGAGGGACCTCTCAGCGTCCAGCACCTTCACAGTCCCAAGATGAGTCCGGGCGCAGCTGTCACAGTGGCTCGAGCCTTTGGCCTTGGAGAGCTGGACAGACGTCTGTCTGATATTTTTTGCTTTTTTTTTGAGACAGAGTCGCTCTGTTGCCTGGGCCAGAGTGCCGAGGCGTTAGCCTAGCTCACAGCAACCTCCAACTCCTGGGCTCAAGCAATCCTCCTGCCTCAGCCTCCCGAATAGCTGGGACTACAGGCATGCGCCACCATGCCCGGCTAATTTTTTCTATTTTTGGTAGAGATGGGGTTTTGCTCTTGCTCAGGCTGGTCTTGAACTCCTGAGCTCAAACGATCCACCCACCTCGGCCTCCCAGAGTGCTAGGATTACAGGCGTGAGCCACCGCGCCCGGCCCAGAGGGCCATCTTCACCTGCAGCTCACATCGAGGCCTCGCAAAGGATGTGGGGCTCATTTTATAAACCAGGGCTGGGGACCAGAGGAAGCCACACAGTTCCTGGCCCTGGCTGTTAGGGCAGCAGCTTCTCAAGGAATGACTGAGGCCGGAAAAAGGAATCTGCCCGGGACTGGCATGGCCCCTAGAGGCAGCAGGACTTGCCGGGGCCGGGATAGAGGTGGCGCCTGAGCCCAAGTTGCTGCCAGCTGGGTCCAGGGACAGGCCCCCCCCTCCACAGCAGGAAGCTCGTGCATGCTTACTCTTCCCCTGTGCAGACTAGGTGGCTGCTGGCCTTGGTGTCCACCCTGAGCAGGAGAGGACAGCCAGGCCCCACCGAGCTGCTGCCCCCGCAGGCCCGTGGGCAGCTCTAGGGCTCTGGGTGTTTCCTTTCTGCTTTAGGCCTCAGGATTTTTAGTCTTAGGTCTTGGAGGTGGGGATCAGGCTGGTTGGGAGTTTGGGGCTGGAGGGATCCGGGACCCAAAGACCCTGTGGCCCTTCTCCACTCCTTGCTCCATTAGTGGATGAGGGCAGGGGGCAGCGTTTCCTGAGGTCCCACAGGGTAACAGAGATGGGGCCACAGCCCCCACCCCGATTGCTGTCCACCCTCCACCACCCCCCCATCATCACCACCCCAGAGCAAGGAGCACAGACCTGGGCAGGTGGCGGGCGCAGGCAACCCAGCTCAGCCGGGCGGGGCTCTGAGTAGGTGGCCCCTCTGCTTGGGAATGAGAGGCCCCTCTGCCTGGGAATTCCCAGCTGGATTGCCAGTCACGGGATGGAGTGTGGCAAACACAGAGGGCGGGGCTGAGGCCCAGACGCCCTGAGCCAGGCCAGGGGGGCCAGGAGGGGGATTTTTAGTCTTCATGTGTGTGTGGGGGGCAAGCTGGCCTCCGAGTCACTCTGGGATTTGGTTTAGGGAAAGGGGCCCAGGCAGGGGCTTATTAGTTCTTCCTTTCCTTTCTCTTTCCCTTTCCCTTTCCCTTTCCCTTTCTCTTTCCCTTTCTCCCTTTCTCCCTTTCCCGTTCCTTTTCCTTTTCCTTTCCTTTCGACAGAGTCTCACTCTGTTGCCCGGGCTAGAGTGCCATGGCGTCAGCCTAGCTCATAGCAACCTCAAACTCCTGGGCTCAAGCGATCCTCCTGCCTCAGCCTCCTGAGTAGCTGGGACTACAGGCATGCGCCACCATGCCCGGCTAATTTTTCTAATATGAGTAGAGACTGGTCTCGCTCTTGCTCAGGCTGGTTTTGAACTCCTGATCTTGAGCGATCCTCCTACCTTGGCCTCCCAGAGTGCTAGGATTATAGGCGTGAGCCACCACGCCTGGCCAGTCCTTCCATTCTGAGAGGCATGATGACAGCTGGGGCAGTTTCAGGACTGGGGACTGGGGGGCCGTTCTTGGAGCCCCCTTTCCCCACCAAGGAGTGGGTAAGCTGAGAACCCCTGTGGGAAGCCAGCCTTCGTCATCCTGGGGGGCTCAGAGTCCCCAAACGTGTCCTCCTCTCGTCCAGCGTTCCCTCCAGGCAGCACCAGGTGGCGCTGTCCCAGGAGTCTGCAGGGTGGTCAGGTGCCAGGTTTTCTGGGCGTTCTCTTATCCGTGGGTGGGTGCATAGACTGGCTGCCCCAGCCTGCCCTGTGATCACCTAGCCGCCCCAGGCAGCAGTGTGCACCCGCCCACCCCGTGAGGCTCAGACCATGTCTGAAAGTCCCATCCTCCCACCAGAGGGCACGTGGGGGGCGGGACAGGCAGCCCGGTGGCCAGCCCGACTGGCTCCCCAGACTGCATCCACTGGTGGGACCTCGAGGGCGTCTTTAAAGCAAAGTGTGGGGGTCAGGAGGGACGCAGAAAGGCTCACCGCCTGCCCCAAATCAGACACTGTCCCTCGTCGCTGAGCCACTCCCCGCCCTACCAGAAGCTTCTGCTGGGGGGCTAGCTGGGGCCGGGTGCCACTGGCCTCACCTCAGCCACACCCTGACCGCCAAGCCTGCTCCCCACAGTGAGCAGGTGGCCCTGCGGCTAGCCTTCATTGGGGACGAGATGGACCTGCGTCTCAGGAGCCCCCGCCTGGCCCGCCTGCCCGGCATGACCATGCACAGGTAACCCGGGGAGGGGCCCTGGGCAGGTGGGGGCCCCAGAACCCAGCACTGGGCTGGGCCGAAGGGAAGACCGGGAGGAAGTGGCCCTGACACTCCGAGGCAGTGCTGAGCCCCTTTGCTCCCACTGGCCCCCACTCCTGGAGCTGGCCCCTGCCACCCCTCGCTGCAGGCCTGGGCAGTGACAAGGCAGAGCCAAAGGCTCTTTTCTCTTTCCTGGGCGGTGGGTGCAGGGCCTCTTGGCTGGTCTCCCTGGGAGGAATGAGTGGGCAGTGACCTGCCTGGGGTCCTGCAGAATGGGGCTTGGTTTTCCGCATGGCCTCCTCTGGAGCAGGGGCCAGACCCGCGGTGAGCACGATTATGGGGAGGAAACAGGAAGTCAGAGTGCATTTGACCACAAACAGCATGTGCAGAGAGGTGGTCGGATGGAGGCACCCTGGAAGGGGGGCCAGGGTGGCAGTGGGGGTGAGAGAGGACAGGCTGCGATGGTGTCACCTAGGTCACAGGCTGTCTCTGCTCACCCTCCCATTGTCTTGCAGCCTGGGGCTGGCGCTGTCCTACGACCAGCGGGTTGGCTGGGGTGTGCTCGGGAGCCTTAGCGACGGTTTCGCCACCCTCAGGGGGAACGTGGCCAGGTTCTGGAGGTCCCTCAGCCCCAGGCCCTGGGTAAGAGCCTCAGTTCGCAACCTGACCGCGCACTGCTGCCTGCTGTCTGGTTGGCACATCCTCTGGTCTGCCTCAGTCCCCACTCTACCTGTTGTCTCCTGCTTCCCCTGTTTGCACATCTGCCACCTCCCACTGGCCTTTGGGGTTGAAGCTCCCAGTTGAGTGACGAATGGCAGCATGCACGGGTGTGAGCGCACGGAGGGGAGGGTGCACGGGTGTGAGCACACGGACGGGAGGGTGCACGGGTGTGAGCACACAAGCCTACAGGCGGTGCACGGGTGTGAGCGCATGGACAGGAGTGTGCACGGGTGTGAGTGCACAAGCCTACAGGCGGTGCACGGGTGTGAGCGCACAGACAGGAGTGTGCACGGGTGTGAGCACACAAGCCTACAGGCGGTGCACGGGTGTGAGCGCATGGACAGGAGCATGCACAGGTGTGAGCACACAAGCCTACAGGCGGTGCACGGGTGTGAGGGCACGGACAGGAGTGTGCACGGGTGTGAGCGCACGGACGGGAAGGTGCACAGGTGTGAGCGCACAAGCCTACAGGCCGTGCATGGGCAGCTTCTCCCTCTGCCCGGGAAGCCCCATCTGGCAGGCAGGACTCTCCGGGCCGGGACAGGTGCCTCCGCTCCTGAGCAGCTTGCCCGGCCAGCCTCTTCTCATGCCGTCCCGTCCCCGTGTCTCTCCGCCAGGACAGCTGGTCCCCTCACCTGTGTTCGCAGTGTCTCCACCTGCCTCCCGCAGGCTGGGCGGGCTGCCCCTCTTCCGCCACGTTCTCAGGGCTGCTCTCCTCTCCTCCCTCTCCCGAGCTCAGTTCTTCATTCTCTGGTCTCAGCTTTTCCTGGCCCCCTCGGGGTCCTCCTGAGTCCCCCTCCCTGGGCCTCCCCTTATGCGCCCCCGGTCCCCTGCCTGTCTGGCACGCTCCCGGCCTCACTGCTCCCTTTGCCCGCAGGTGTGCCCCGGCGGCCCGGAGCAGGTGCTGCTGCTGCTGCTGGTGCTGCTGCTGGGCGGGGGCCTGCACCTGCTGCTCAAGTGAGGCCCGCCGCCCGGGTGGGGCCGGTCCCCACCCCCACCGCCCTGGAGGTGGCGGCTTCGCAGTTTCCTCGTCTTTTTAACTGGAGTTTTTTGATGATCTTTTTTTATATTTAAACTCAGAGATAGTGCTGGGACACTGCTGAGGTTTTATACTCAGTGTTTGTTTTTTCAGATTTTGTTTTTTGTAAGGCAAATGAATTTGTTATACCTCTGGGGTCCCAAGGCTCGGCTGGGCCTGCCGTCCTGACCCTGGCCCAGCCCAGGAGGCGGCCTGTCCCCAAGAAGGAGTCTTCCTGTCCTGCTGGTTGGTTATGCCGCGGGCAGCGGGGGGAGTGCTGGTCGCACCCCCGTGTCTGTGATGCCCGCACCAGAGAATCCACTGGATTGGTTTCTGAGGGCTGGGAGAGCTCAATAAACTGTTGCTTTGCAGTGGTCTCTGGTCCTCTCTGGGGGTCTGCAGCGCAGTGCAGGCTCCGTCTTGCCCCTGGGAGGGCAGGGGGTGGGGCAGGTTCCTGGTCTCCTCCCTATGTCTGGGGACCCCTAATGCTGCCGTGGGGGTGGCTCCACGCTTTGCAAAGGTGCCTTCCCCCTGCCCTGGCCCGGTGCCTGAAATCCACTGGTAGTGTTTCCTTTGGGCTTTCGGTGCCTCTTCGAATGAGGGTTCCTGTCGCCTTCCCTGCACGCACTGTCCATGGCTCTGCTCACAGAGTGGGGTGGGTTGGGGAGGGGGTGCCAAGCCAGGGGCGCCAGGGGCAAGCTGGCCAGGCCTCCCACCTTTTAGGCTCAATGCTTGCTCCAGGCCTTGGCCCAGGTCCATTTCTAGACCCCACTGGGCGCCCCCCCCACCTCAAGGGCTGCACCTTGGCTGGTGCAGGCTGAGCCAAGGCCCTCCAGGGCGCCTCCGTCCCAGCACCTTTGGCAGCCTGCCTGGTCTCCTTCCCAGCCAGGCCCCTTGTGTCCCCTCCTCTCCACCCCAGTGGGCTGACCCAGCGATGAAATTGTCCTGCAGCCTGGCTGGGCAGACCCAGCCCTCAAAACCAAAGGGCCCTCCAGGCCTTACACCTCAGTTCCCCAAGATCCGGCCCTTCGGAGCTTTTTTGCCCAGGCTGGCTTCAAACTCTTGGCCTCAGGTGATTCTCTCGCCCTGGCCTCCCAGGAGCTGGACTGCAAGGGCCTTCAGAGAGCTGAGCCACACCCAGCCCTCTGCAGCTTTGAAGCCTGGCTTCAGGAACCCCATTGTTAACTTGTCACCCTCTTTGGGACCAACTACCATATGCAGGTCTCTCAGAACCTCACAGGGTGAGCCCAGAGCCGTGCAGTTCCCAGGTCACTGCTGCCGGGGCCCCACCATCCGCTGCAGCAGAGGAGGCTGCTCTTCTTGCCTCAGACAGAGGCCTGGTCCCCACCAAGATTATAGGCTTGGAAATGGTCCCAGGGTTCACCTAGTGTGTACACACCCAAGACCCTGGGGACCCACTGCAGAATCAGCATGACTAGGATACCATCACGCCACATCCAGAGCCACTTCTTCCAGGAAGCCCTCCCGGACCACCCAGGCCCCAGCTCGCTTCCTCCTGAGCTCAGGACAAGCTGCTTCTGAGCATGTCCCCACCATGGGCTTGGCCAGGGTGCCTGTGTCTCAAGGAGCCCGGGGTTCTTCAGGACAGAAGCCCCCTCCCCGCTGCAGCGCAGCCCCTGCCAACTCAGCCGCGTCTTCCTAGCAGCCTCTCCCTGCCGGAGCTGGGGGTGCCCACGGTTGTCCTGCCCTGGGCTTGCAAAGTTCTTTCCACCATGGGTCTCGGGAGCCCCACGCGCTATGCTGTCACCCACCCATAGTGGGGGTGTGGGGGTGTTGAAGACAGGGTCCCTGACTCAGATTCCATCTTGCTGGGGAAGGAAAAGTGCAGGTGTCAGTAAGCTGAGCCAGGGCACTGGGGGCGTGGCCTCAAGGCAGCAAAGGCCAGAGGAGACACCCGGGGGCGGGGGCACTGAGGGAGGAGGCAGCTGAGCAGGTGCACGGCATCAGGACTGAAGGGACTGCATGAGTGAGGGCCCTGGGGCGGGAGGCAGGGCTCCTGTCAGACCCTATGTCCTGGGGGCTGACGCTGGGCCTGACTGGGGCAGCTCAGCCTTGTTGAGCAGGAGGTGACAAGGCTGTGGGGTGTGCTGCCCAGGATCGACTGGTCCCACACTCCCTTGGTGCGCGTGCACACCTGTGGCGGCCCTTGGCATAGGCCTGCAGGCAAGTTCTTGCCTCAGAGGAAAAAAACAAAGTTATCTTTGTCCATTTCAGAGGCTTTTGTGCAAGGCCCCTGGCCGGGTCAGACTTCTGGAGAGGCAGAGCCAGACTGAGCCTCTTAGGCAGAAGGTACCCAGGACACCAATTCCATGCAGAGCTCCCAGTTCCACGCAGACCTGGGGAAACAGGCCCAGGTTCTCTGTGGACACAAGGATGTGGCGGCGGCGGTGGGGGATGTTCCCGCCAAGGGGTGTGCTGGGCCCTGGGAGCAAAGCTGGCATTGGTATTCCCCCTGAAATACTGCGGGGGCCCGCCAAAGAACGGGACCCACCACAGCCCCAGGGCCACACCCTAGGACCATGCTCCTCCGATGACGCCCCCACCCCCTGCCTCCCACTGTCTGGATTCACCTTCCGCCTGGGCAAGGGCACAGTGGGCCCATCTGCAGGGCTCCCAGAGCTGGAGGGGAGCGCTGCCAGCCCCCCCACCTTTGGGTTTCCTACTGGGCAGCCCTTGCACTGTAGGCAGAGATGTTGATGGCTTTCTGTAATCTTCTTTTTTTTTTTTTGAGACAAACGTCTCACTCTGTTGCCTGGGCTAGAGTGCCGTGGCGTCAGCCTAGCTCACAGCAACCTCAAACTCCTGGGCTCAAGAGATCCTCCTGCCTCAGCCTCCTGAGTAGCTGGGACTACAGGCAAGCACCACCATGTCTGGCTAACTTTTTCTATTTTTAATTGTTTGGCTAATTTCTGTTTATAGTAGAGATGGGGGTCTCACTCTTGCTCAGGCTGATCTCGAACTCGTAAGCTCAAGCAATCCTCCCACCTCAGCCTCCCAAAGTTCTAGGATTACAGGCGTGAGCCACAGCGCCCGGCCTGGAATCTTCCTTAAGGCAGCACCATATGCCCTTTGTTTGCTGTCTCTTCCCCCTTCCCGTGGCTTGGAGTATGGATGGACGCACTGGCGATAGCCCAGATGATGAGGACAGGGCTGCGCCCAGAGAGCAGTGACGCCACCCACCCGCCCAGACTCTCACACCCACCCGCCCAGACTCTCACAGGAGAGGAAACCCCACGCCTGCTATAGCTCCTTTATCTGGGGTTCTGCTCCTCAGAGTTGAAGCCCCTCCTGCAGTGCTGCTGGAGCACCGAGGCCGGTATGGCCGGTACACACACACACACACACACCACCCCGCGGTGGCCAGGACTTCACACACACACACACACACACACACACACACACACACACACACACACCCACACCCACCCACCCACCCACCACCCCGCGGTGGCCAGGACTTCAGGCACTTGGGGAAGGGGCTTCAAACAGACTCAGTGAGTATTGGACAATGATGAAGTTTTTTGTGTAATAGTTTTGGGCACAGTGGCTCATGCCTGTCATCCTAGCACTCTGGGAGGCCAAGGCGGGCGGATCGCTCGAAGTCAGGAGTTCGAAACCAACAAAGTGAGACTCTGTCTCAAAAAAAAAAAAAAAGAAAAAGGAAAGTTTTAAGAGAGTTCTTTCCAAAGAACTACTGTGCTCCAGAGGACACTCCCTCAGGCTGTGATGAAAGTCACGTTCTGTGTTAGTATTTGCAGTGCTTCTCAGCCAGGGCCATGTGGGGTGTCTGGGGGTCAAAATGCCTGAAGCACTACTGGCGTTCAGTGGCCAGGAGTTGGGACATCTGTCCATAAGAGTGGGACAGTCCCACATAAGAAGGAAGGGTTCTCCCCAAAGGCTCACAGGACTCTGCTGAGAAACACAGGATTAAAAATGAGGAACCTGGCAGAGCACAGTGGCTCACGCCTATAAGCGAGCACTGTGGGAGGTTGAGGCCAGGAATGTGTAACCAGCCTGGGCAAACATCACGAGACTCAATCACTACAAAAAATTTAAAAGGTAGCCAGGCGTGGGGGAGCACATACTCTGGAGGCTGAGGCAGGAGAGGCCAGGAGTTGGAGGCTGCAGTGAGCTACCACTGCACCACTGCACCACTGCACTCCAGCCTGGGCGACATTCCAGAACAAGGAGAGGGAGAGGGCAACCCTATCTAGGATTTGACATGTCTATGCAACAGTAATATTTTAAGACAAATTCATAAATTTCACTCGTAATAATGTTTTCCCACTATTGCTGAATGAAAGAACCACCCAAGCAGCTTAGAATTTCTCATATTTAATAATTCAAGGAGCTGCTTTCTCAGAGCAGACTGCGCCTGGCTCTGGGTGCCCTGATCGCGGCCCCACACGGTGGGTCTCCCGGGGGGCGCTGCATGGGGAAGCCGGGCCCCTTTCCCAGGCACCTGCACACCCCTGCACCTTGCTGAGGACCCTCTTCTCCCAGGGCAGAGGCTGCTCACTCTGTGGCATCCAGCATGCGCTCAATACGTATTTCTTGGGGGTGTAAACGAATATGGGACGGTCCCCCAGCTGCTGAACGGGGGGTGAGCACGGTGGGTGGCGCAGGCGCAGCCCACAGCCTGTACTTGCGAGGACAGACGGGTCATCGCGGAGACTCCTCGGGGTCCAGGTCTGGGTCCTCGGTGGGCTGCAGTGTGTCCACGTGGCTGTACGACTTCCAGGCCTGCAGGTTACAGTTCTTCAGGATGGTCCCCAGCTGGTTCCCAGGGCCGACTTCGAAAGTCTGGGGGAACGCAGTGCCCTTCTTCCTTTCGTAGATGGCGTGCATCGTCTGCTCCCACTTCACCGGGGAGACCACCTGCCGGGCCAGCAGCTCCTGGATGTGCTTGGGGTGCATGTATCTGTTCCCATTGATGTTTGAGTGGACGGAAACCAGAGGCGTCTTAATGCTGATTGTCTTTAAAACTTGAGCCAGGGGCTCCAAGGCTGGCTCCATGAGGCGGGTGTGGAACCCACCACTAACTGGCAACAGCTTGGTGCGTCTGAAGTGATAATTAGAGGAATTCTTCTGGAGAAACTTCAGAGCCTGGAAAAGAAAGGAAGGTTAAGCCAAGCAAGTCTTAGGGGGGAAGACATGCAGAGGCAGAAGTCAGCATCAGCAATATCACAGCCCTGTGTATATCATTGATTTTGAGAGACGGGGTCTCGCTATGTTGCCCAGGCTGGTCTTGAACTGGTCTTGAGCAGTCCTCCTGCCCTGGCCTCCCCAGTAGCTGGAACTGCTGGCGTGAGCCATTGCATGCAGCAGCCCTAAGTATACAATATGCTTATCCCCACACGTTTGTACTGTCCCATGTCCCACAAACCATGATACATACCGTTTGCCATGACCTTAACTCACTTTTTTAGTTCTTTAGAACCAGATCAGGGGTTCATGAGAGCCGAGAATGTACTACAGGTAGGCCCTGGAGATCACCTGGTCCTGCCCCTTTACTTTAGACGTGGGCTGGGCGATTTGTTCCCCCAGTATACGCAGGGGAGCGGGACAGCGTCTCAGCCTCCTGTCTCCCTCTGCAGTGTTTCGTCTGAAACACACATCCGCACCCCAAAGCGCCCACCGTACTGCTGGTGCAGGGCAGTTCCCACCCTCCCTACTGGACTGGCCACTATCAAGGCAGTTCCCATCCACACCAACCTCTAGGTGTCCTGAAATCACCCTGCACTCAGGAAAGAGGTAGTTGGACACTGCGCACACGGGGTTCTCTATGCCCAGAGACTTGCAGTGCTCCCGGGCTTCCAAACAGGCGAAGTTGAACTTGGACTGAGGCCGGCCAAGGACAGACAACATCCCACTGGGGACAGCTTCTGAAGCTTCCTGCATGGCCTCAGCTCGGATTTTCACTGCATACAGACCTGTCCAGAGAGAAGAGCATTTGGGAAAATCAGGACTCGTGATGAAGGCAGGCCAGACCTGAAAGAAAAAGCACAAACTCCATTCTGTGCCAGAGACCCTGAGAGTGGTGCCAGTCACCAGCCCACAGGGCCAGCGTTGCACGACTCTACGTACTACGCAGAGCTGTTACTGCCACTGGCACTATACAAATGAACCCAACTTTCCTGTCTTAAAGTTGGTTTGGTGTAGGGCAGTGGTTCTCAACAGTGGTGGATTCTGTCCTAGAGCAGTGTCTGGAGAAATTTTCTGGTTGTCACAACTAGGGGAGACAGTGCTACTGACATCTAGTGGGTAAAGGCCTGGGACGCTCCTCAACATTCCACAATGTTGGGGGGCACAGGACTGCGCCCCGAAACACATGAATAGCACCACTGCTGCAAGCCCTGGTGAAGGGCAAAGAGGAACAGACTTGCAGCTACATGCCGTGGGCAAGTCGCAACCTCCTTCTGGTTCAAATTTCTGAACCAGAGGTTCCCCCACCATCCACTAAGTAATCGCTCCCATTTCTTCCTCCCTCCACTCTTAGTAACCTCTAATCTGTTGCCTCTATGGACTGAACGCATGAATTCTGGACATTTCATATAAAAGTTAGCAAAATGAAGATAATAATATTCAATCTGCCTAGGTTGTTGTGAAAACCAGAAACTGTTATTAGTTTATTATTTAAGAGAAATAATGTAGAACAGGAAAAATAATTAAGAACTATCAGATACATGGGCTGCTATACAAACTACACACAAGTACATGAATTTCAGTAGCATACAACTAACAAAAATTGTTACTGTCTCCACTTAGAGCTGGAGAACTTGACTCAGCCATGCAGATGAACTGAAACGTGGGGTCCCGATCAGCCTGGCTCAAGTGTGTGGTGAGAGGACAGGCAGGCAGCTACAAAGATTGTGACATAAGAGTGCCCTATAGCTACCAGACACCCAACATCCTGGTCCTGGGTCTGCTCCCTGGGCAGAGGGGAGATGACCAGACCAAGGAGAGATTAAGAGACCCACTCAGGGTTTGAAGAGAACAGAGAGGGTGTGAGAAGAAAATCCTACACCCTTTTCTCCTTAACACGTCTTCATGCACTCAGCGCTTATATATTTTATATTTGTACCAGACTTTCATTGCCCTTACCAAGAATTGTGGAATAAATACATTAAGAGCCTGTGACAGGCCGGGCACGGTGGCTCACACCTGTAATCCTAGCACTCTGGGAGGTCGAGGTGGGCGGATTGCTCGAGGTCAGGAGTGCAAAACCAGCCTGAGCAAGAGTGAGACCCCAGCCGGGCGCGGTGGCTCACGCCTGTAATCCTAGCACTCTGGGAGGTCGAGGTGGGCGGATTGCTCGAGGTCAGGAGTTCGAAACCAGCCTGAGCAAGAGCGAGACCCCGTCTCTACTATAAATAGAAAGAAATTAATTGGCCACCTAATATATATAATATATAAAATTAGCTCGGCATGGTGGTGCATGCCTGTAGTCCCAGCTACTCGGGAGACTGAGGCAGAAGGATTGCTTGAGCTCAGGAGTTTGAGGTTGCTGTGAGCTAGGCTGATGCCACAGCACTCACTCTAGCCTAGGCAACAAAGTGAGACTCTGTCTCAAAAAAAAAAGACAACAGTGAGCTATGATGACACCACTGCACTCCAGCCTGGGCAACAGTGAGTCCCTGTCTCAAAAAATAGAAAGAGAGAAAGGGACACCCATAATGAATCAGGCTTAAAAGGGAATCATGGTGAAGTCTGGTCCTCAAGATCCCATGTCGGCCCTATCCATGTTGTCCCTTCTTTATCACCCCTGAGTAGGTCAAATTTCATAAAAAAAATTTTTAAGAGAGAGTCTTACTCTATGGCCTACGCTGGAGTGCAGTGGCATGATCATAGCTTACTACAGCCTTGAACCCCTGGACTCAAATGATCCTCCTGCCTTAGCTTCCCTAGGACTACAGGTGTGCACCACAATGTCTGGCTAATTTTTTTAAAAAATCGTTTTGTAGAGATGGGGTATTGCTGTTGCCTAGGCTGGTCTCAAGTGATCCTCCTGCCGCAGCTTCTCCACATGATGGGATTAGAGGTGTGAGCCTGTGCTCCACATCCTGCCTCCAATATCATTTTTGGCAGTGTCCTTTTGCCCCCACTGAGCCCAGCAAGACCACACCCTGCACAAAACCAAACTCCTTCCTGTGTACCTTCAGAAAATTCCATGGCTCCGGCAAAAACTAGGGCTGCAAATTCTCCCACACTAAATCCAGCAGCAGCAACACAGTTCTCAATAACCTGCAGTGACAGATGCAGAACATGAGGCCAGATTTTCTGGGGGAAGCTCACTTCCGGGGCACTTGCACTGAGAGCTGGCAGGGTGTTCAGCACTTCAGTGAGCCAGGTTCCACTGGCCTGGTGCTCCAGCTTGAAGAGGACACACGGAAGTGGCCTTGATGATCTCTGAGTCCAGCCCCTATTGAGGAAGAACTTCCCTGGTAAGAAGAGTTCAAGCCCAGGCAACTCCGTAGTCACGCTGACTCCAACCCAGGGCTCTGGATTCCCTTGCCTTGGCCCTACAGTGGCATCTCACCCATAGGTGTGAAGTTAAGCATAGAAGTCAAGAACATGACTTTTGGAGTCAGAGACTAGAATTCTTAGCTGAGTTCTCTAATCGCTCTGAACTTATCTCATGTGTGAAATGAGGGACAAGCAGGGCCCATCTCAAAGGGCTGCTGCATTCCGTGAAGATAACATCCATAAAGTGCTTAGGGCAGACATGGCCCAGGCTAAGCACTGAATGTTATTATCACGACTCAACAAAACCACTTAACTAACTCCTTTAATATCCCCAATTCTCCTTTCCTCATTCATAAAATAACAGTATTTACCTCACAAGGTGGTTGTGAAGATGAAATGGGGTAAAGGATCTCAAATACATTTATTGTCTTGATATTATTCAAAATTAACAGTAATCAATTCACCACCTTCAAGTGAAGTCACATTCTCAAATGTCATCTTCTTAATGATCCTTCATTTAAAGATGAGCTTTAATCCTTTTAAAATCATCTAGTAGTTAATTAAATGATTAAGGATCATTTAAAATCACGACTCAGCCCTCCACTCCCCATCTCCTTAATCTGCTCTATCTTTCTTTCTGTAACATTTATCATCTTTAACACACTATGGAATTTCCATAATGAGTACAGTTATTGTTTATTATCTGTCTCCTCTAAGATGCAAGCTCCCTTAGGGCAGGGATCTGCCTGTCTTGTTCACGGCGCCTAGAATACTCCCTGGCACATTGTGGGAACTCGGTAAGAATCTGTCAAATGAGTCAGACGTGGGAGCCCCAGGCGGGCCCCGGCCTGCCACGGGGCTTCGGGCCTCACCGCTGGCTGCAGGTGATGGAGTTTCTCGACCGCGGCCAGCGAAGCCACGAAGATAGCGGGCTGGCAGTGCGCGGTGCGGTCCAGGGCCTCCTGCGGCCCGTGCAGGCTCAGCTCCAGCAGGTCGTAGCCCAGCACGAGGCGGGCGGCGGCGTAGAGCTCTCGGACGCGCGGGTAGGCGAGCAGACCGCGGCCCATGCCCACCAGCTGGCTGCCCTGGCCCGGGAAGAGCAGCACCGAGCACTGGCCCGGCGTCCGCCGCGTCTCCGCCGCCCGGGGCCCCTCCTCCGCCTGCGTCGCTCCTCGCAGCAGCTCCGCCACGCCCTCGGCGCCGAGCGGAGGCCCCGGGAAGCTCGAGGCGCGGCGGCGGCAGCTGGCGCCCAAGCCCCAGGCCCACGGGGCCCGCGCGACCCGTAAGCTCATGCTGAAACACCCGCCTTCCGCGCGTTAACGCGGCGACCGAGCCCCGATTACGGCGGCGCGGTGCTGCGTAGTCCTTGACGCATTTCCTGCCCGTGGCACCCGGGAGCGGAAAGAAAGGTTCCGAGGTTACTGGTTCCGCCTAGGCTCTGAGACGCTGCGCGGCTGCGTGCGGGGTGCCTAGAGTGAACCGTGTGCTTCCTTAAACCTCCACAGCCAAGAATAGAACACGACACTACAGCACAGCGAGCCCCCATCCGATATTTATGGAATAAGTAATGCAAAGCAATGTAATATTTACTCTTTCTACCTAGCACATGCAAGAGTACTTGAGACTTCCAAATTCTCTTTAGCAAATGATTCTCCCAGCACTAAGCAAGATAACAGCTGGGAGACTCTGTCTCAAAGAAAAAAAACAACAGTGAGCTATGATGACACCACTGCACTCCAGCGCTGGGCAACAGTGAGTCCCTGTTCTTCCAAAAGAAAGTACGGATAAATAGAAAGAAATTAATTGGCCACCTAATATATATAATATATAAAATTAGCTCGGCATGGTGGTGCATGCCTGTAGTCCCAGCTACTCGGGAGGCTGAGGCAGGAGGATCGCTCGAGCCCAGGAGTTTGAGGTTGCTGTAAGCTAGGCTGACGCCACCGCACTCACTCTAGGCTGGGCAACAAAGTGAGATCCTGACTCAAAAAAAAAAGAGCCTGTGACAGGAAGTAGGGGAAGTAGAGAGAACATGTGGAAATCCTTCCATGCAGGCATTAAAGCAGTAACTATGCAGAATGTCAAGTGAAAAACTGAACACAAAACTGCAAATATGCTATAATTCTCCAAGTTATAGGCACATGAAATGATAAAATGATACATGTAATAATACAACAGTATCATTAGGATGTGGAATTATGCAACATTTTTCTTTTATGTAACCTTTCCTCAATAGTGCTATAAGGCTTTTTTTTAAAAAGAAAAAAAGGTGAAACTCACATAAAATATAATTAACCATTTTAAAGTGTATAATTCAGTGGTATTAATATTTCATGTATTCATAATGTTGTGCAACCACCAGCTTGCTCTCTGGTTTCAAAACCTTTTCATCACCCCATAAAAACACCCACATCCACTAAGTAATCACTCCCCGTTTCTTCCTCCCTCCACTCTTAGTAACCTCTAATCTGTTGTCTCTATGGACTGAACGCATGTATTCTGGATATTTCATATAAAAGGAACCATACAATATGTGACTTTTTCTGTCTGGCTTCTTTCACTTAGGACATTTTCTTGTTAGAGACGGGGGTCTCATTCTTGCTCAGGCTGGTTTCCCACTCCTGACCTGATTCATCTGCGCCGCCTCGGCCTCCCAGATGCTAGGATTACAGCGTGAAGCCCCCACCGCGTCCACTTAGGATATTTTCAAGGTCATCCCTGTTGTAGCATTTTATCAACTTTTTTCCTTTAATTCATTAAAATATTCCATTGGGTTGGGAGGTGGCTCATGCTGTACTTCCATAGCAACTCTTGGGAGGCAAGGTTGGGGATTGGTCAGGGAGTGGAAAATCAGGCCTGGACGCAAGGGAGCGAGACAGCATCTCTATGAAATTAATTGGCCACTAATGTATTAAAAAAATCAGACCGAGCATGGTGGTGCATGCTTGTAGTCCATGGCTACAGGGAGGCTGAGGCAGTTAGGATTGCTGAGCCCAAGGAGTTTGAGGTTGCTGTGAGCAGCTGACGCACGGCATCATCTAGCCTGGGCAACAAAGCGAGCTCTGTCTCAAAAAAAAGGATTACCATGTATGGACTATACCATGATCTTATGATCCATTCATCAGATGATGAACGTTTGGGCTGTTTCCCGTTCTGGCTATTGTGGATAATACTGGCTATAAATATTGTGACAAATTTCTCTGTGTGGATGGCTTTAATTCTAGGAATATACATAGAATTTCTGAGTCATTTGGTATTATATTTAACTGGTTTGGAGGAACTGGCAATTTTGTTCCGTGAATTTTGATCTCCACAGCAATGTTGCGGTCATTCTATATACTCATTGTATTACTTTATTTTAATAAGCCACTAGTGGTGTGAAGTGCTATTTATTTTACTGCTGATTTCCTGATTATTATGATGTTAACCATCTTGTCATGTGTTTGCATTGAATATCTTCTTGAGAATGTCTTTCATTCCCTTGCCTATAGTTAATATAAGCAAAAAAATATAACTGTTTTAACTAAAGCAAAATCTTAAGAATAAAAGTGATTATGCTCCAAGATCAATATTCATTTCTCTCCTTCGGCTGTGTACTTCAAAAAAAAAAAACAAAAATTCATTTTTCATTTTATTCAATGCGCATTACTAGATACCACTTTTGCTTGGTGGCACTGAGGGGTGATAGCACAGGGTAGTGGAGAAGATAGGTAAACAGCAG